GTACTTTAAGTAGAGACAGGGTTTCACCACATTGGCAAGGCTGATTTCGAACTCCTGACCTCAGGTGATCCACCCACCTCAGCCTCCCAAAGTGCTGGAATTACAGGCATGAGCTACCACACCCGGCCTCCTAGCTGTTTTTAAAAAGCCTTGGATGACAGAGGCCCCTCACCCTTCATTGGTCACCCATTTGCTCCTGATCTGAGTCAAGGTGAAACTTGGTTTGTGTTTCCAGACCACCTCCAGCCACACTGGAGACAACAGAGATTTCTAACCCTGCAGCAAAAGACCCTCTACATAGTGCATTTGGAAGGTTAGGAGGAAGACAAGTAGTTACAAAGTCATAAGTTAAGGTCCCTGGCCCTGAGGCCATTGGGATTTAGATGAAGTACATAGTCTTAGCCAGAAACATGAGACTTGTGTGCATGTGGAAAGAGGTCCACTCCAGGCAGAAGTGATTTTGGCCATCCACCACATTTGCCTGACTCTGCCTTAACTCCCAGCAGGCGTGAAGTCCTTGCCTAGGAAGCAGCTTTAGGGGCTCTCAGATTTCAAGAAGCTAGGTTAGGCCTCTCCCAAACTGTCCCTCTCTCTGCAGGATTGCTCGCAGCTGTTTCTCCTCTGCCCACCACCAAGAGCTGTAGCCATCACTTGGTGGGTGCTCTGGGGCGGGAAGAGACACTGCAGGTGTTGAGTGGGAGCTTTGCAGTCCGCCCTAGAACAGTGACGGTGCAGTAATTTCTCCTTCCTACCTCCCCTTTTAGGGTTTTTGCCAAACTATTTACTACCTCCTTATGAGGAAGTGGTGAACCGACCTCCAACTCCTCCCCCACCATACAGTGCCTTCCAGCTACAGCAGCAGCAGCTGCTGCCTCCACAGTGTGGCCCTGCAGGTGGCAGTCCTCCAGGCAGCGCTGATCCCACCAGGGGATCCCAGGGGGCACAGAGCAGCCCCTTGTCTGGCCCCAGCAGAAGCAGCACAAGACCCCCCAGCATCGCTGACCCTGAGCCCTCTGACCTACCAGTTGACCGAGTAGCCACCAAAGCCCCGGGGATGGAGCCCAGTGGCTCTGTGGCTGGCCTGGGGGAGCTGGACCCAGGAGCCTTCCTGGACAAGGATGCAGAGTGTAGGGAGGAGCTGCTGAAAGATGACAGCTCTGAACCTGGCAGCGCACTGCCCGACAGCAAAGAGAAGACGCCCGGGAGACATCGCCGCTTCACGGGTGACTCGGGCATTGAAGTGTGTGTGTGTAACCGGGGCCACCACGACGATGACCTCAAAGAGTTCAACACCCTCATCGACGATGCTCTGGATGGGCCCCTGGACTTCTGCGACAGCTGCCATGTGCGGCCCCCTGGTGACGAGGAGGAAGGCCTCTGCCAGCCCTCTGAGGAGCAGGCTCGAGAGCCTGGGCACCCACACCTGCCACGGCTGCCTGCATGCCTGCTTCTGAATACCATCAACGAGCAGGACTCTCCCAACTCCCAGAGCAGCAGCTCCCCCAGCTAGAGCAGGCCCTGCCAGCACCCAGGAACTCGGCAAAGCAACCAGGGTAGGGGAGAACCACGAGAGAAGCATTAAATGACTTTCAGAGACTTTCAGAGGACAGCCACCTGGTTCCTTTTTTTTGTTTGTTTTCCTTCTCTCCTGCATTTTCCTCCATCACCAGGTACAGTTCGAGGTGTGGATGCCTCCCCCCAACAAGGGCACAGTGTTGTAGAGCGCTGAGTTGGTTCTGGGACTCATTCCTCATCTCCCAACTCCATCCCCTTTCTTTAAAGTCAAATCTCACCTACCTACCTGAGTCAGAGAGATGGGAAGAGAAATGTGTTTTTAAAGCCCCCAAGGAAGGAGGCTGGAACTGTGCCCTGACATGATTCTTGGTGATGGAGTAGGTTTGTGCTCTGATTCTAGTTTAAGAGAACATCACTGTGTCTCAGTCCAGGAGAGGCAGCCCATCTTGGCCCTGGATGAAGAAGGAAGCCCACAGAGGCCCAGGGCTTGTCACTGGCTGCAGCAGCTGCCGAGCCAGCATTGAGCAAACCCTGTGGACGGATGAGAGCTGCCAGGCCTTTGTATGATAGGTTGGTAGGGGGCTGGTTGATCTGCCAAATTCCAGGTGACAAGATCGACGCACCCCATGTGTCCTTGAGGGGCCTCTTCTCCGGCGATCTGCAGGCTGGTTCTGGTGTGAAAGATTATACTGCCTTTTCTTCTGTTTTTTGTTTTGTTTTGTTTTGTTTTTTTCCTCTAAAAACAAACAACAAAAGACAGCTGAAGATAAGAACGTCACCGGTGGGCAGGCAAAATTCTCTTCTGGAAAATGACGTTTGTGGCTCTTTCCCAAGTTGGGCTTCAAAGAGCCTGGCTGCTGTTGAGCCAGAAGGAGATGTCTCGTGTGAAGGCTCTCGGAGCTTCTGTGAGCAGGAGGCCCTAAGCCGCAGCCGTGGATAGAGTGCTGCTCTCTGCCTCTCTGCCCTTTGGTCTGTGTCCACAGGTGACCCGTGTCAGCCTGCGTCCCAAACACACACTCTGCGACCCTTCATGTCTCACTGTTCCATATGAGGAAACAGCAGACTGAGGAAGCGATGACCCCTGAGAAAGGGCCTCTGTAGCCTGGCTCTCACGCAGTATTTTGTCTTTGATTCTGAATACATATTTCTGTGGTTGTTTTTTTTTTTTTTTGAACTGACCACTTGGAAGAAATACCTTGGTTATCTGTGGTTTTCATGCCTTGTCCCTGCCTCTGCCCTCACCCCTTTTGAGTTGGGTGACTCATTTTTCTTTGTGGAGACTCGGCAGCCCAGGCAGGAGGTGAAAGCGGCCGTCCGGAAGGCCCTGAGGACCCCCGTGCCTGTTGCTCGGCCTTAAGTCACCAGCTGAGCTGTGATAGGAAAATCTGATTGGAGGCAGCCAACAGCCAAAACGAACATTCCCCTCCCAGCCCTGTGCATATGAAGTGTCTGTTTTTTCTCCCAACTCTTGAACGATGATGATACTCAGATGAACCATTGATGTTATGGAAGAAGGAAAGAAAAAAAAATATATATATATATATATTTTTTGGACATATATATATATATGTCCGAAAACAGACAAATCCAAGGCTGTGAGGTAAATGAGTGTCTGCATTTGGATTCCACAAAACCAAAATCCATGTTGAACAGTGAAGTCTGTACAAAGTGACATTTTGGGTGAGCTGTGTGTATCTGTCTGTTGTGTGTGAGCCTGAGCCCTGTTTTCCTGTGGAGATACTTTGAGTGGCATTCTCCCCACGTGAACCACACATCTGGAGCACAGATGGCTGTCTCTAGGTAACTGATCTTACATATTTACTGCTTACGGAACAAATGTCTGACAGTGTGCTTGCGTGTATTCGCAGCATTGTCAACTGCAGGCTGCTGTGTTTGCCAGAGATACTGTGCTCGAAGTAGAGGTTTTACTCTACGCATCACTGCGATTTGCACATTGCTCCGTGGACACTCAGAGGCCTGCATTCTGTTCCCTGTAAATGGAGGTGTGCTCTGAGCCTGCCTGCCTCCCTCGGCTGCTGCTGGTCCTCGGTACCAGCCCCCGGGGGTGTCCATAACCACTTGGGACAGAAGAAGGTGGAATTTCAAACAGAAGCTTGATTGGGTGTTCAAGGACAGGCCTGGACTAGCTGTGGCCCAGACGTCAGCCCTGCCCAGAATTGCCAGGAGGAGGCTTTGTGGGCACCGGAGGAACTGCAGGGCCTGCCTCCCTCTGCTGAGCCCAGCAGGCACAAGCGAGCTGGCTTGTGGCCAGAGGTGGCTGGAGTGTGTCACGGCCCTCAGATGCCTTTCCTTCCACCTTTTTTTTTTTTTTTTAAGAATCCCAAATAACTTACTGAAGTGTCTCAAAGGCAAACAAGTTTTACCAAAAGGAATCCTTTTTCAGTTAATAGATCAAATGGATGAGTTCTGACCCTCTCAAGTTCCTTTCCCCAGTGAGAGTGGGGACCTGGTCGAAGGTTAACCGCGGGATTCACTGCAGCATGCTACCCTAAAGGCTGGAGAAGACAGAAATGCAACCTGCGGAGCCGGGCTTGGTTCCCAAGTTGCAGTCTGGCCCCCGCTACAGGCTGCCCTGCTCAGAGAGAGATTTAATCGGGAGCTGAAGGAATCGTTTGGGGGCCTGGGAGATGTGGCTGAGGCTGGTTTTCCAGGTGAATGAGACGGGGTTGGTGGAGGGTTTGGTGCTACAGCCAGTCGGAAGATTTGCAAATGCGAACACATTCCTGTGTGAGGCACGTTACCCTTTGTCAGTTATTGTGAATATGTGTATTTTAAGCAATAAGATTCAGCTGGTCAGACTTTTCTGGGCAGTCTCGGTGACGCATTTCCTGTGCTGTGATTGTTCTGAAGACAGAGTGGCTCTAACCACTGTGAGAAGCCCAAATAAAAATTGATCCCAAAAACGCTGCTGCTCTTTCTTGTCACACTTGGTTCCCTTTTCTTCTTTCTCCCTCTTCAGGGAATCGCACCTCAAGATCCCAAACCACAAGCACTTTTCTCCACGTAGAGACTGAGAGGTTGGCACATAGCCGTTGAGGACAAGGCCCAGGGCCAAAGAGAAACCACAGGGCCAAGGGCAGCTGGGCAGTGCTGCTGCGTCCACACTTGGGCCTGAGGAGTCCTTCCCATTCTCTGTCAGGGTGTGTTCCTGATGTTTGGGATACTTTGGAAAGTCCCACAGACAGGCTAAATCAGACCCCAAAAAAGCAGAAATGACTTTTGTCAGATACCCCATTGCTAAAACATGGCTTTTTTTTAAGACTCAGGCTGGAGTGCAGTAGTGTGATCTCGGCTCACTGCAGCCTCTACCTCCCAGGTTCAAGTAATTCTCCTGCCTCAGCCTCCTGAATAGCTGGGATTACAGGCACTTACCACCATGCCTGGCTAATTTTTGTATTT